TTCGGTATTGATCTGTAAAACAGAATATTTTTTAAATAATACTGCAAGGTACGTAGAAATTGTTATTCTATAAAAATAACTCATTTGACTCATTCATTGATCATGATGCTTTAGAATCGAAATCAACTAGAATTTCTAACTGAGACTTATGATAGAAATAACAAAAAAATATCCTCATATCGTGTATCCCTCGAGAAGAGTCTCAGTTTCTTTATAGACCGTACAAGAATATTTCAGCTGATCGCTTAAATCAACGTGCTCGATGAATCGAAGACTTAGGCTTCTCTTTTCTATTTCTAAATGACTTCGCCTATATCTCTATTTCAAATAATATTGAGAATAAATCCGAATAAGAGCGAGAATCAACATAAATGATAACCAAGCAATCCTGCATATTTCTTATAGAACTCTGGCCTCCTGGTTTCTTGTTCTGGCTTGTATCGACAGGTATTGTCGCAGTTCACTCAATGTTCGACTTCGTCGCTTGAGCAATGTATTTGTTGCTCGATGCACCATTGCTCTGCTCTTATTGATCATGTGTCTAGCTCACATTCACGTGGCTATTTTCAATGTCATCGATATCGGTCGCATCGGCCCACCATTCAACTTGATATCAAACGTGTGCACCACCCAACAAGGCTTCTACCGTGCTGTTTTCTCTCTCTATTGGTTTCTCATTATCTATGCCCTATGTCCACCCATGCTCATGTTTATTTTTGGTCTACTTACTATACTTAATATTCGTCAACGACGGCGAAGAATGTTGCCTACTAACTCAACAGCCATTACTCGCCCAAAAAGCAAAGACTACGGTGAAATGTTAGTCATGCTCATTATACAGTGTGCCGTCTTGATTATCTTAACTACACCCTTGGCTTTGCAACGTATATATAATGTGTCTACGGCAGCAAAACAGAAGAGTAATGCACAAAAAGCAATGGATCAATTGTTTCTCACTCTCGTTATCTCGCTTGCCTTTGTTGGACACGCGAGTAATTTCTATTTGTTTACCTTGACGAGTTCTATCTTTCGCAATGAGTTAATCAAATTGATCGACAAAATTCCAAAATGCAGTCACTTTGATGATAGCTCAGTTATGCAAGTAATTAGCTATCAAGTTGGCACGGGAGGAGGACAGCAAATTGCAGCAGTAAATGCGCATCTTAATCTTGATTCTGAAGACAGCTTGTAACTAATCTCAATGTGACTCAGCAAAAAAAAACGCCTTCTAACAAACACTTGTCATATGTCTGTCGCAATATATCCGTTGAATAAATCAATGGCAAATATTACACTTTGATGTTTGTATTCATGTGTAACTCTATATAACATAAAAACTGAATTATTTTAAATGTTATACAAAAAGAAATTATCATGACAAATTGGGATTTCTATCAACAACGGGTTGTGGGATGGGTGTAGGAGTGGGAATGGAATGTGTGTGAGTGTGGGTATGGTTAGATGTTCATCTAATCTTAATTCTCACGCACATACCCACACCGACATCCTTTGTCGATCTTACATTAAAAGATGGACCGAAGAAAATGATCAATGTTCTAAGTTTTGCAAGAAGGCAATAACAATACAACGTTTTTGAGAACCACAAATCAGCTTGTACTTGATATACTCGATCATCTCCTTCTTTGATGTGAAGCTTGTCATCAATGTAATATTTAACTAGAAAATTTCGATAAAAATACGAATAAATATATATTGCTGAAAAACATTTGTTTCCTGTTCAGCTACTGGTTTCGAATGTTTTTGGCAAAAATCAAGAGATAAACTTCAAGTCTATTCTACTGTACGCTTTTATGAAACGATGAGACGACTCTTTACAAACTTAATAAATACAATAAATATTCTTATTGAAAAGGTTCGACAATGAGAAAATCAAAGTGAAAAATAGGAAATCGTATCAATTCACTCAAAATTGAAAACCGCCTGTTTAAATATAAGGTTAATTTACTCCAAAACGGTTGTAAAAAACAAGCAATTAGTGTAACTAATGTTGTAGAGTTTTTCTTCGTACTAGCCAACACCCACAGCCACACTGTTTAGAGTACCCTGTATAGCGTTATAATTGAATTCTAGATATATCCCTATTTTTCGGTATCAAAATGCTCTGAAAAGTTCAAGAATAGTGTCTTGCAACGATAAATTTGTCATGCATTTATTGCTGTTTTGATCAATATGTATCTCAAATGGAAGCCTTCGAGTTTCTCTCTCTGATGATCTATAAATAGCTAAGACCGATTCTATCTTACAGACTTCGATGAAATTCAAAAATAGTGTTCGCTTGATTCAGTTCGATCAACATCGCAAGCATTCGTACTCTTCATTTTCCTTGAACGAAAGACTCCTAACTTATATTTTCAAAAACAATTTATTATTAGATGATGAGTTTTACATTGAAATGTTTGATTAAAAATGCGTTTTGATCCAATGCGCAATTATTACCATACTAATTTAGGACAATTCTTTGTGTAACAGCTAGTTAATATAGATTATTCACAATATAGTAAAAACCTTCTATTCGCAACTAGCTTCATTTTTGCAACGATAGAATAAACGATCGACCATTTGAAAGTCTTGACTTAATTAGTATTTAAGACAAGCATCTTTCTTACATACAATATGGCACTCCTATAGCTCTTACGATTCTGTACTAAGAAAAGTTTTATATTGGCTTATGTCACTTTCCATAAAAACTAACACAAGGTTTTCACTCAATGTATTTAATAGTACGAATTGGATTGCAATTGTAAAATATAAATATTCATCATGAATCATATGTTTGTCTTATTATGAAATCTATAGATCATTCTGCTTTTTATTGAATATATCAACATTGATATTCTACTTAGGGGCAACCAAAAGTTCTGGCAACATTAAATAAAAATATTAAGATAATGAGTTATTTCTAATTTTATTTTATCAAATGTTGAGGATAGTTGCCATTATTATTTATACCAAATACGATCCTTTCTAATAATTTGTTAAAAGTATTTTGCAATCTTTTTCGAAAAAAATTGTAGGTACCCTGGATCCCGCATGAGCTAATCATGTTTCATTTATTTAATCAGTTAAACTACGTTCGGTAGAATTAGTTAGCCAAAAATTACATAGTATCAGGCCTGGTGAATATGGTGGATATGGTATTATATTGATCCCTTCTTCTTTCATATAATTGATAACATTGGATGAGTATGATGTCAACAATGATCGTTAAGCAATTTTGAACCTGCTGTCTCTATTTCTTTTCATATTTCATTAATAAAAGGCTTTAGAGAATTTTCAATTTAATACTAGTGACTTACAGTCTTGCCTTTATCCACACTCAAGAGTATTTGATTTAAAGAATCTGCCAGACAAAGTTTTGGTTAAAATCTGTCTTCATGAACAATAGTCTTTGACGATTCATCTTCAATAAGCCAGCTAGCATCACATGACTTATGACTAACCTATCTAAAATAAATCCATATCCTATCACTAGTACTACTAGAATGCAACTGGCATGATCGAACAAAATTTTGCTAAATTTTTAAAACAAATGAAGTATGATTAGCTCATGTAGTATCCAAGGTACCTAAAAGTGTTTTCGAAAAAGACTTAAAAAAAAACTTTTAACAAATTATTAGAAAGGATCCAACTTAGTATAAATAATAATGGCAACTATCCTCAACATTTGACAAAAAAATAAAATTAAAAATATCTCCTCATCTTAATATTTTTATTTAATGCTGTCAGAACTTTCGGTTATCCCTAAGTAACGTACGATGGAAAAGTAATTGGGCAAATGTCCGACCCTATTTCTCTTCGATAAAAAGCTACTGAAAGAAAGCTTTTTTTACCAAAAGATAGAGCATTTTCTTCTCTTTCGAATTATGTGTAACTTCTTTCTATCACACGTCTTTAAATGAAACGACGTAACAGGAAAGAGGAGCATCCTCAAAACGAGTCCGCACTTTTTCTATGGTATGACCGTACAAAATGTCGATCCCTATATCTCTTCGATAAATACATTCTAAAAGGAATATTTTATTCTTATTTAATCGGAAATTTTCTCCTCTTTCGAACTGTGTAAGATTTATATTTGTTACACATTCGTAAATAAAATGAGCTGAGTAAAAGAAGAAATGCTTGAGCAATAAATTTGATATTTTTTCTATAGACTCATCAAAGATATCTTGTGAGACAACAGTTGATTTTAATTAACTGTGCTTTTACAAGATCGTTTTAGCAAGTTCATGAAAACAAAACTAACTACCGTTTTACAAGATCTTCTTAACGAGTCCCCAACAATCGAATTAACTGTTGACCAACAAGATATTTTTGACGAGTCTATCGGAAAATTCCAAATTTATTGCTCAAGTATTTCTTCTTTTACTCAGCTTATTTTATTTACGAATGTGTAACAAATATAAATCTTATACAGTTCGAAAGAGGAGAAAATTTTCTATCAAATGATAATAAAATATTCGTTTTAGAATATATTTATCGATAAGATATAGAGACCAACATTCCCTACCATTTTTTTGTATCTTACGAAAAGCGCGGACTCATTTTAAGGGTGCTCCTCTTTCCTATCGTGTGATTTCGTTTATAGATGTGCGAGAAAAATAAGTAATATATGGTTCGAAAGAGAAGGAAAAGCTCTATCTTCTGGTAAAAAACGTTTTCTTTCAGTAGCTTTCTATAGAAGAGAAAAAGGGTCGGACATTTGTCCAATTGCTTTTGCATCATATGTTATTTATAATTATTAGTTGCAACATTTAGTTCTATGCAATGTCCAACAAAAGTGAATCATTTCTAGAAGAATATTTTACAAACAATATTAGCCTAAAATACAACCAATACAAAACAATGTTTTTTTTGTATCAATCTTCATGCGATAGACAAATGGATGATCTGAAAAAGAAATTCGAAAATCTTTTATGATAGTAACAAGAATTCAACTTTATAGAAGAAACTAAATTGATAAAAATCATTTTTAATTACTTTTATTTAACTTGTTTAAAATGTCGTTGTATTTCAGTTCGGTAATCAATGAGAGTTTCAAGAAGTTTTTCTTTATAAAATTTTGATGGTAAAACGAATACAACGCATGTAAGCATCGGTGGCATAAATGAAATAAAATATTCAATAGGATCTAACAACGTGTCATCTGCTGATTCCATACATTTTGATAGAAATGAAATAATTAAACGTGGTAAAGCAAGAATTGCTAATACAATAGGAGCAATAAATAAATTTGTATATTCTCGAAGTTGCGCTTTTAAAAGTTCTCTATAATTTTCATTATCTTTAAGATTTGCTTGTTGACGAGATTTTTTTGCTATAAAAATAACAGCCGCCACTATATTAATGATAAATGGAGCTACAACATGAAATGCATGTATTAAAAAATTGTATATTTGTAAACTAGATGAATAAGTAGCAATACACCATATTCGTTTATCATGTTCATTTTCTTTATCAATTAAACGTCGATAAAAAGGATCACAAATATTTGTAGAAATAGTAAAAATTAAAAGAATGATTAATACTAGTTTAGCAATTCGTTTGCTTTTTTCCTTACGAAAATTAATACCTTTGATAACTGTGATAACTCTTTCAATAGCCACACATGCATTTAACCATTGATTCATGTTAAGCTAAACTCGTAAAAGAAAATCAAAAGATACACATTGAATTTGTAAAAATGATCGATTTAATATAACTACCATTTGTATGAGAACAAGTATTCAAAATTTTAATCTAAACATAATTGTTGTAAGTAAAGTAGTATTTGATGAACCTAATAAATACCAATCACAACCAACTTGACATACTAATTTATTGTTGAATGTTATCAGAGATAAAATTCCATTGACGAATCCTGCTATCATACCGATTGTTGTTACTATTAAACTAAATAGCACGACATTGAATTGATTTTAAAAATTAACCTGTGGTTGAATATGATAACCTAAGATAGCATCAAGTGATAAACCAAATCCATTTACCCTAAATTGGCATTGTGTTCCATAAAAGCATGGTGAACATATACATATTGATTTTCTGGGACAATTTTGGTCCTCTTGAAAACATTGACCTTCATTTTCACAAGCACTTTGACCTAAACAATCATATTTCATATTATGATTAAATTCAAAACAATTTGCTAAACGTTGTTGTTCGAAATCGTAACATAAACAAAGATAAACATCATCATAAAAACAAGAATATTTAATGAACGTTTTTTATATGATAAATGATAATATTTGACATGACGAAGAAGTTGAGTTTGAACGAAGCTGTGATTAAATAATTCCCTGATATGTTGACAACGATCTGATGCATTTATCATTTTAATGATTGTTGTTGATTGCTTCTAGGTTTTTTGTATATGAGTTAAATAATAGGTTTTGTTGAAAATTTCTATGAAAACAAGATGAAATGGTCTTGGCCATTGTATTATGTGTGACTTTTGTGCAGGAGGTATTGTTCGAAGAGTTGTTGTTCTCTTTGGTGCACTCTAACGAAGAACTTCTATGAAATGAATAAACATTGATGACGATAAAGTTATATCATTTCTAAATGATAGAATGATTTTGTTATTAACCATTTCACATCGATCACCAAAATAACTTGTCTGACAAATGCATATAAATTTTTGCTTTGATCGCATCCGTTCATCAATGGGCATACATTGACCACCGTTTTGACGTGTTAAATTATTATTTATTTCAAAAATTTTATCGGTAAGTAGACATCGATGACCAAATTTATAAATAGGACAAATACATACAGATCGATTGTAAGCAGATAAACCAATACTTATTGGATCAAGCGAACACGTACAATTATATGGTACAGTACAATATCGTTCAGACCATCCTGGATTTCATTGACAAAATGTAACATTTTTTGGATTCAGGATCGTTCATGAAGGATATCCAGGTAAGAATCGAATGTTTCCGTCTATCTACTTTCGTTCAATTGACGCCTTCGGAAATTTTGCCAGCTGTCACAAGACGGAAACTTTTCATTCATATTTAATTTACTCATGTTGTCGACATCTAAGAGCATGCATTAATAAAAGTGCAGTAGACTTTGACCGATCGACGATTGCCATACTGGAAAAACCCTCGTTATCTGTATTGTAGACTAGTCGAAGGCAACATATCGAACAATTCAACTGAAAAGTTACATTTTTCATACCTCGACGTTCCTCGCCTATATCTGAGTATACTCTCTAGACAACACGTTTGCTACTGTTTTTCTGATTTCAACATATTTTCTTTTCTACATAGGTTTCTCGTCGTTTTTTTTTCTTTCGAAGTTTTTCTTTATGTTGCCTGTTCGGCAATCGGAGTAGAAATGAATGGAAAGAAATTTCTTCTTTCTTTTTTTTTCTTATCCTGCATATCTGTACATTCGGTAATATGATAACGTTTATGCATGTTCTTGATAAAATATCCACAAGTTATTTGCATTCGGTTCATTCTGTATATAAAAATGCTATTCTAAAGAAGAGTGTGGGTGTGACTAAGCAAAACACGCTCACATTCACACCCTCAAATTCTTTCAATTTCTGTCAGTCACTTTATTCGACCTTGATAGAAATTTAACATAATAGGATATAGATGTTCTTAGATCATTTGCATAGTGTAGTTCATGTCATATATGGTCGAAAAGATGATTTGCCGACGTTTCCTTACTTTTCTTATTGTAATTCATTGATCAGTTTCTTAAAAAGCAGAGTGCTTCAAAGTTAGAATATATTTTACAGTTACAAACTGTGGCAGATACTTCCACACACAGTCTCCTGCATCTGTTTTAGAGATTTGACTAATGCACAGATGTGAAATTGAAGTATATCATTACATTGTATATCTTGATATCGAAGACGTTACACTGAATTCTTTTCACATATTACCTTCTTTTGGTGTAGCCAGTTGGACGCTTCTCGGTTCATTCACTATCAGTATGAACAGAAGTGATCAAATTCTCTTCATTTTCTTATATGTTGAAGTTCTTAAGATAACTCTTCGTTAGGATTCACTTTTATTAGCAAAATGGAAAGGTTAAATTCTACTCTAACAAATAGTGATCAAGGAAAGGTAAAATCAATGGCAATAGTTTCTGTTAACTGAGATGGTTAACATCAGCTTTTATGTGTTTTTTAAGTTGCTTAAATATTTCTTTGATAATATCTTGACTTTCTTTATCTAAAGCCACTAATGGGTAAGAGCCATGAAGCTGCAATCGACACATTTGATCGATTGTTTCGTGAGCGTGAGTTTCCATATGTTGTTTATCTATCGTTACATGAAGAAAATAAACGTTTGATTTTTCATCAGCAAACTTTTGAAGGCATTCCTCAGTGATAACATTGCTAGATGAAATAGCGAATATGACCAATTTACTATGCTTGACTACAGAACTTCTGAGAACTTTTTCGATACCATTACGCGACGCAACCGATTTCATGTGAGAAAGTGCTTGGTCATTTTCACTTCTTTCTATGTGTTTCATGCCACTTAATAGTGTTATTCTATCGTGTCTGATGCTACTTGTTGTTCCATCAATTTTTTATACACATGACTAGCAATCTGTGAAATTTTAATACCTTGAAAAACATCCGTTAGCGGCATAACTGTAGCCTACTCTCGATTGAGTCAATTGTAGAGTGAAATGACCGCAAGTGAATCTAGACCGAGTGAGAGCAACTAGTGATCTATATATATTCGATCAATGCTGAACGCTCCTAGAAGATGCATGACTGTTGCTCAAATTTGCTCAATAATGATTTTGATACTGGATATTGATGAGGAACCATAGTTATCTACTGATTCATCAGAGAGACTGTCTTTTGTGAATTGCTACTCAATAAACTGCATCANCATAGCAGTTTTTGTACACTAACTATGTTGTCGGTTGGTTTTATCGAACATCACCTGCGATGATACTGAAGAGCCAGGGAATAGATTAAATACATTATTATTGATGTGTTGAGCTAAAGAAAAAACGAGCCGGGACTTCCATAATTCATATATTTTGATTAACTGTTTGCTTTGTGATTTGCTCGGGATATGAGGAATATGTTTTTGATCTTTAAAAAAAGAAAAAAATATTTCTTTTATTATTATATTTGTTATTATTCTCTTACCAGAGTCGACAATGCGCAAAAATCCGTGTAACTTAAGTTCATTTTGTAGCAACTTTTTGCGCGTAAGGAGAAAACTGAAAAACAAATCAAAATAGCAAATATCAAGCACTTATGCCATTTTTTGGTACCTTTTTTGACCGCTCATGAAATCGTCGTTTGTGATCCGAAAGTATATGGCATTGTTAATAGGATCTTTTTGAACATTAGGATCATTAGTATCAATTGGATATGGGTGCACACACACCACCGATACATTCTTATTGGGCACAGTAACAGAAGCCACGCGAATATATAGTTCATGAGTGGCATCATACCACTCTCTTGGTATCTAATTGAAAAAAACAAGAGAATATTTTTCTTATTTTAGCAGTACACATCTATTGTGGCGTACTGAGCAGAAAAGTCAAAATTAAATAATACAATAGAGTATCGAGAAGTAGTTTACTTTAACTTTGAACGATATAATATTTAAAGACTGAGACTAATATCCCAAGTTTCGCAGAAGACTTTGCGAAAACAATCTGTGTTTTAGTTTAGAAAGGCGCAAAGATGCAAACATACATCCACACCGAAAAGACATCGAAAACTCATAAATTGAAGAATAGCTGCCTAATTCGAGTTCGAACATAGTTCGACCTTTCAAAATTCCATAGGCAGAAATACTAATCTAGAAAAGCATTTCTTCATTCTGATGAACAGCTCATACATATGTATATATGGCCGATTTGCAATATATGGATGCCGTTTGCGAAAAAAATGACCGAAAAGAAATTTCAAGTTAACATATTTTGATTCGTTGGTTTTATTATTATATGTTAGGAAGGAACAGGAAAATAAGTTCCTGACTATCGCTATTAAGATAGCAGGGATACAGGGTTATCGAGAAGAGGTATAATTCTTGAGCTAATTGTAAAAAAGAATATCAACATTTTACACGAAATTTGTCGAGTTTTCTCTTTTCAATAAGATCCAATGCTAGATTTATAACTTCAAAACAAATAAATAAACATAATTATATGTCAACAGAACAACTGCACGTTCTACGATTCACAAAATCTGTTGATATCGGATAAACGCATGTCTGAGGTATACTTACTGTAGATGTTAGCTATCCTTTAATTCGAAATGGCTTATTGGAAAAATATTAAATAGTGCAATCGATAGAGCTCCGAAAAATCAATTGATTGATATAAAATAATTTTGGTTTTACCCTCAATTTGTTATAGATATCACTCATAAAATCTCGTGGGACATTTTTACTATAATATATAATTTTCTTCAGAACTACTCATTGTAAAGAGTTAAGATTTTTTAGCACAAGTAGTTCCCATAGGTTGAAAAAGAAAAGCAAAGTTTCGTTCCCAAAGATTCTGATTTGACAGAGTTGTGGATAAAACAAAAACGAAAACCTTGCGGAATATTTAGCGCGACAACTATAATTTTTGATTTTCTATCCTCGTTTGCTTCTCGAAATTACAATGTAAAAAAATGATATTTTTCTCAAAAGATAGTAGCTTTATTTTTCTATCATTTGAAACTTTTCCCAATCCTCTATAAAAAACTGTTTGTCTCCATCAACGTTTTTAATCTTGCGAAACAAAAAATCAATAGCTGGTAGGAAAATATAGGCCCTTTGACCTTTATAGTATCCATAACTTGAAAACTTCATGCGATAAAAAGTTGACTTTTTGCCTGGTTGTGAGGATTAATTAGAGGATCCAAACAAAAATAAAGTTATTTAAATCAGTCAGCATGAACCAGTTTTATTACCGACATACGTCATAAGTGAAAACAGTACCCATATATTTTGTACATCACTCATATACATATACATATAGACACATAGATAGCTAGGATTAGTCCGATTAGTTTAGGAAAGAAGATAAAGATTTAGTTTTTACTTATTTATAATTCCTAAGTCATATATGTATAGAGTGGAGTGGCTCTCTAAATTGCCTCCCAGTATAGTGGACATTTTTGAGATCTTCTAAAAACAAAGCAGTGAAAAGCAAAAGATAACACTTTATCTCAATTACAATTTATAAATAGGGTATGTGTATGGTGTGGATCTTTCTTTTACACCGACACCCCACATCCATGTCAACACAAATCGAAGAATGACTCTCTGCTGAAACGTTGTATTGCTGACATCTTAAATAGATAAAAACAGTCTCAAAGTTTTTGGTCACACTTTCACCTCCGAATAGCTGACCATTTTCTGGAATAAGAAGATGAGCAATATGCAAGAAAGGTAGAGTTCTGTGGTACAAACTTGGTGGTAGCGTAAATCTCAGTTAAATCGTCCTAAAGTTTCCTCGATATTCAAATTTCGTCTCATTTGTTCTGTTTTCAGGGCAAAATCTATACGAAGGAGAGGTGTTATTTTCTAGTTTCTGTTCCGAGGAATATTAAGTAGAGTGAAAAATATTCGGAGAAGTTCCAGCTAAAAATTGTCAAGCTATCAACATGTGTCAAAGCCTTACAGAGAATTTTGAAGAGTGTGCCTGTATCTTGAAAATAGAAATGATGAAATATAAAGCCACTTATATTCTTAGTGAAGATGCTATTTGGGAAATTTTGCGATATCTTAATACAATATGTGAGAAGCTATTTGTATGTAAAAGTATGAAAGAGGGAGTTGACCAGAGTTGGAATTATGAGGATTTTTTCCCTTACTAGTAGAGGTACAGGCCCAAATGACCAGACTGAATCGGACTGATCGGTATACGGCATGAGCCATCCTTCACTTTTTTGACACTATAACATGCAAATTAATCTCTTGGTTGATCATATTCGTCTCGTAATCGCTACAGTAGTGATGCATAAGCCCTGTTTCAATACTATGGCATGCTAAACCATATATTTTCCGAAAAAAAAATAGTTAAACTTGGTATCTTTAGAATATAATTACTATAAGTCAATATTTTCAGAAAAGTAACTATATATTCGAATAACCTGTGGCATTCTCCACAACTCTATATGTATACATTCTCAATTGCATTTGTTTGCTAAGAGGAAACTTAAACACTGTGAAGGAAGTTTCATTGTGAGATTCTCCAGAAAGACATTTTCAAATCCTTCTTTATTCATATTTTCAAGTTGTTTACTTTATTTAACGGAAGAAGTTATTGCAAAAGTAAGTCTATATCGTGAAAGCACATGAAATTGTCTGTCATCTTTTACTTTTGCTGGTTTTGACTTCCAATTATTTGAAAATAAATACTTCGACTATTGTTAATATATCCTCACTCTAACATCCTCAGTCTCGATTACTGTGCATGAACTCATACAGTAGCCCATGAATGGGTATCTAATAATTGCAAGTCAAGACCGGCAAAAGTAGAGGGCAACAGACAATTTCACACGCTTTCACAATATATACTTACTTTTGTAATAAGTCTTTCCTATATACAAAGTAAAAAACTTGAAAATATGACTGAAAAAGGATTTTAAAATATCTTTCTGGAGAATCTGAAGATAAGAAGTCCTTCACAGTGTTTACGTTACCTTTAAGCGAACAAATGCATTTCAAAACGTATATACATATGGTTGTAGAGAATGCCACGAGCTATCCGAATAAACAGTTACTTTTCTAAAAATATTGATTTTTTGTAATGATATTCTCAAAATACCAATATTAACGATTTGTTTTTCAGACAAATACTTCCATAAGTTTTCTCTCTTTTGGCGTCTATTGATGAACAGAAATTATTATAGAGTTGCAAATGCTGCATTAGCTTTGTGAATAGATTAAATGATCGGCAAACACAGATGTGATTAATCGTCTGTATACTTAATTTGCTTCCCACGCTATATTTTTTGTATTATCTCTTATGTTAGTGCAAAACATATCATACAAATAATAGAAAATTCAAATAAATATATGATTAATTGCAATACTAATTAGTTATTTATTTTGTTTTGATAGCATAATCTCATATCAAAGTTAGTTGATAAAATATATTAATTATGTTATGATAAATTTCGACTTAACAGAATAATCTGATCCATGTTCAATTGCGATAAGTCTTCAACAATCAGTAAAAAGTGTCTGATTCTCGAAAAAAAGACATGCAATAAATCAAAAAATTCAGACTGATTGATAGAGAAGATGTCATGCCTACAGACTAACAAGTAG